GGGGCCAGCCTGGAGACAGCAAGACTGGGAGGAGGCTGTAACAGGCTCCAGTAAAGAGGTGACAGTGGTCTGGCCTGCAAGTAAAGGCAGTGGAGACAGAGGAAAGAAGATGGGAGTTGAGAGGGGTGCCTAAGCAATGGCCAGACTTTCCAAATAACTGAATGTGGAGAGTGACAGAGAGGGAACAGTCCGGGATGACCCCAGAGTGCTGAATTGGGGGAGGCTTGTGTGTGGGGGTTGCCAATGGCAGCTAGGGAATGCAGGAGGAGCAAGTGTGTGGTCTTATGTCAGTTTTGGACACAGTAGGCTTGAAGGGCTTACAGGATGTTCAAAAGAAACTGTCCAGGATGTAAAGTGACAAAGTGGCTTCATAAGGTGGGCCCAAGGTGAAGGCACAGATGAGGGCACCCATCCAGGCCAGACAGAGCACATGCTTATTTACTGGAAAATATATTGGCTCCAAAATATGATCAGAAAAAAAAGCAACATCAAAATTCCAGAATACAGACGAATCCAGGATACTCTCGAACTCCTTAACTTAATCACCTCTGCAGGGTCCCTTTTGCTATCTAAGGTGGCATTCACAGGCTCTGGACCTTAGGATGTGGTCATCTTTGGAGGCCATTATTCAGCCTACGGTGAGTGCCCATCCAGCACATTCATCACCAGAGCATGGAAAGCCTGTCTGGTCCAAGCCCCAGGCTCAGAATTCTCCATGCTGACCAGGCCAGAGAAGATTTAGCTCTTCTCCGCCAAAGTCAGTAGAAATAAATCCTTTAGCTATCTCTATAAGTCCCCCTCGCAGCTTTGCCTATTATCTGGGCTTCTCCTTGGAAAGCAGTCCATCCTGCCCACAGTTTCTCAGAATGACCACCAGAGGGAGCGCCTCACAGCTGGTGCATGATGACTTTCTCCTTCTCCCACACTGGTCTCTCCTCTCCCCGCCTCCCCGCACCACACCCCCTTTCTTTCTTCTCCCTTAAAAGCCCTTGGGAAGAAGAACCGCACACTCTCCCTCCCACACTCTCCCTCCTGGGAGCCCGTCCATGCTGTTCTCCTCTCCCTCCCCCTCTTCTTCTCCCCAGGTGTGTTACCTTTACCTTCTTTTCTTCTAAGCATCAAGGGCCCTTCTTTTGCCTCTGTAACTTGTTTCCTGAGCCCATTTCTTCTACCACCCACTTCTACCTCTGCAACTTTCCAGAACTCAAGTACCAAGGTTGCTGAACCCACCAATCTAACACCTGGTGCCATTCCAGCTGCTGCAAACAGAGCCAAGAGATCCTATCTAATAAAAGGCTAATATGCAAATTGTCCCCTCGACTGGGAGTTTGACCAGGAGTTCAACCAGGGGATGGGGCTGGCCGGCCAACTGCCTGTGGCCCCTCTGCCTGGCTGGCCCGATCACCCCCCCAATTGTGGGTGGGGCCAGCTGGACCTCACCCATGCACAAATTTGTGCACCGGGCCTCTAGATAAGAGCATATTTGGAGAGGGGGAACAATGAACATGGCAGAAGAGAGAGGAGACCATTACTGGAGCCAGATCACTGGGTAGGTGGGAAGAGGACAGGATAGTATTATACTTGACTAGAAGCCCAATGCACGAAATTCAAGCACTGGATGGGGGGTCCCTCAGCCCTGCCTGCGCCCTCTCACACTCCGGGAGCCCCTTGATCAATTGTCCCCCTTCCCCCAGAGGGAGGCCCTGCCCACCTGCCGCAGCCCGCCAGTCAGTGGCCTGGGTCTCCCTCTTTGGGGCGATCATGGAACCCCCCATTGATCAATCACCCCACCGGCCAGTGGCCTGGTCCTCCCTCTGCAGGGCAATCATGGGGTGATGGCCAGCTCCCAACCAATCGAATTGCACCTGCCTTGGCTGGCCTGGCGCCAGTGGGGGTCATAGTGTGGTCGTCAGGACGGGTCTGTTTGGTTCAGTCGATTTGCATATTACTCTTTTATTATTATAGATGAGCGAAGGGCAAGATTCAAGCAACCAGCAAGAGGTGATCCTGTAGATAAGGTGTTGCCTGAGGAGACAGCTGTCCTGGATAAAGGCTATACACTTCCTTCTCTTTCTCCTTTTAGCTGAGCCCTGGGCACAAGGATTCAAAGGTTTCTTCTAGGAAACAGGCTCCTGCAGGGTGGGGGCAGGGAGGCCTTTGGGCCTGGCTGGGCGGGGCAGCCTCCTCCCCCACAAAAGCTTATACAGCCTCTGCCAGTAACAAAACCCTTTGGGTGCCTGGGAGCACGGTGCTACTCAGAAGCTTCCAGAGCCCACAGAGGAACCAGCATGGTGGAGTTTGCGCCCTGGTCCGTGCCATGGGAGCGCAGGCTGCAGACTCTCTCCGTCCTACAATGGGTCTTCTGCTTCTTGGCCTTGGGTAAGCTAGCTGGTCTTGAGGGCTGGGGAGACATGGTGGGCACCTGCAATTTAGGTGGAAAGACATCGGTCCTAACGGGGGCTTGGCTGTGCTGAGTCCCTGCCGGGAGACCTTTGGAGGATATGTTCGGTGTGGGTATAGGGTGGGGCAGAAGCCAGGATCTAACTTTCCTGGGCTGTGGATTCCACCTTAGTACTAGGACAAAGCACCTGCCTCCTGCTGCCTGTGGCTGGGGAAGAATCTAGGCAGTTCCAGGAAAGGGCCCCTCAGGCTACTCAGAGGGGATGGATTTCCTTCCTTCCTTTCAGAGAGCAGGAGGCAGAGGGAGAAGGGGAAGGGGGGAGGGGAAAGGAACAGGGGAAAAATTGAATGGGGAGAGAAAGTACAGGCTGAATGTGGACTAGGGAGAGAGTGGGTTACCAGGTAAGCGTGGGTTGAACTCCAACTGGACAACTGACCAGCCGTGTGGCCTTGGTGGACCCCTGCCTGACCTCTCCAGGCCTCTACTTGACTCATCTGCGTAATGGGAATCGCAATGCTGATCTTACCGTGCTCTTGTGGGATGGAATGAAGAGACACGTTTACTCTGCCCAGCACAGACCTGGCTGGGCCCTGGGCTGGAATCACACAGGAGAATCCTTTACCTCCCCCACCCCCACAGTGAACACATCTGTTATGGCTGGGAGGCCACAGCTGCCCAAACTTCAGCTCTGCTGAAGGAAACATTTTCGAGGAGGGCCCAGCACTGAGGATTGGGAAGAGAGGTGATTGGGAGTATGTGGGTTCCTCATTTCATCTGCTGGCACCAGACAGGGCAGAAGCTGCCACCCCCAGGATGGTGCTCAGCCTAGTCACAGGCACCACTGTCCGGGTGTTAAAATACGAACGCACTCTGTGTAGGTTGGTCAACAGCCATCACACACACACACACACACACACACACACTGCCACTACCACCAGGTGCGTTCTCAGAACCTCACAATTTTTCGAGGGATTCACCCCAGCAAAGCAGGCACTTAGGTTCCCTGCCCCTAGCCTCACCTGTGCCTTTGGGCAGGTTACTTAACTTTCCTGGGCTGTGTCCTCCATCCTAAAGGTTGTTAAACATTTTAAATATCCTTGGTTATCCCCATGACACAGATGAGCAAAGAACTGAGGTGCCTTAAATGCCAAAGGTTGTAGAGTCCTTAAATGCCTTAAGCGTCAAAGGTTGTAGAGTCCTGCGCTCCTCCTACTGACACGGCAAGAGCGGGGAGGAGGCAGAGGGAGGAGAGAGGGCAGAGGGAGTGGGAGGAGGTGTGGGTTAGGAGGCTGTGGGAAAAGCATGGGCAGGGAGGTCTATGCCCAGGGCAGACTGCGAGTGCTGGCTCCTGGACAAAGGGCATTCGGGGCCCAGAGGCAGGCAGGTGCAGCCTAGGGATCGCAGGAGATAAGGAACCTCGTACTCGGCCTGCCTTGTGTGAGCTTTGTGAGCACAAGTGTGTTTGGCTGGCTGTGCCCACCCCCAGCCCTGCCGGTAGCCTGGGAACCTGGGAATGTCAGCAGCAGCTCAGAGGTCAAAGTCACCCTGAGCCTGGAGGACTAGAGGAAGGACAGCTGAGAAAAGGGATCTGGGCCCGCAGGTGCCGGAAGTGGGAGGCTTTACCTTATCCCTTATCCTGGGGGCAAAGGAGAGTCCCGGGAAGGCTTCAGGTAGGAGAGTGACAGGGTCCAATCTGTGTGTTAAAGGGCCCTGTGGCTGCTGTGGAGTTATCTACGTGGTATGGGGTGTGGGGAAATAGATCGACCGCAGGGAGCAGTCACAATCTTGATCAAGGCTTACCCATAGGCCAAAGCCAGCCCACTGATTGTTTCTGTTGTTTGTTTCTTTTACAATCTTTGATTCCAGTTTTAATTAATTAATCAATTAAATCTCCCCATGGACCCCCTTCACCCTGCTCCCCCTCCAAGCAATTGTATTTGCACAGTCCATGAGGTTAAGAATGGTTTTTACATTTTTAAATGATTGCATTTTATTTTATTTTTTAAATCTTGATTGAAAGTATTACATATGTCTCTCTTTTTCCCCCATTGACCCCTTCTAGCTCACCCCCGCTCCCTGCCCCAAGCCTTCACTGCCCTATTTGTCTGTGTCCATGGGTTAGCCATATATGCACACAAGTTCTTTGGTTCAGTCTGTTCCATAGTTGTATGTCTCTGGATCTATTTTGTTCATCCATTTGTTTTGTTCATTAGATTCCACATATGAGTGAGATCATGTAGTATTTGTCTTTCTCTGACTGGCTTATTTCACTTAGCATAATACTCTCCAGGACCCTCTATGCTGTTTCAAAGGGTAAGAGATCCTGTTGTTGTTGTTATTGCTGCATAGTATTCCATGGTATAAATGTACCACAGCTTTTTTATCCACTCATCTACTGATGGGCACTTGGGCTGTTTCCAGATCTTATATTGTAACCTAGAGGCCCAGTGTCCCTCAGCCCGTGCACCCTCTTCTCGCAGTCCGGGACCCCCCATTCCTTACTGCTCGCCTGCAGCAGAGGCGGGAAAGGCTCCTGCCACCGCTGTGCTCGCCAGCCGTGAGCCTGGCTTCTGGCTGAGCGGTGCTCCCCCTGTGGGAGCGCACTGACCACCAGGGGGGCAGCTCCTGCTTTGAGAGTCTACCCCCCTGGTGGTCAGTGCACATCATAGCGACCAGTCGTTCCACTGTTTAGTTGATTTGCATACTAGGGTTTTATTATATAGGATTGTGCTACTATGAACATCGGGGTGCATACATTCTTTCTGATTGGTGTTTTGGGTTTCTTAGGGTATATTCCTAGAAGTAGGATCACTGGGTCAAGTGGTAGTTCCATATTTAATTTTTTGAGGAAACTCTATTCCATTTTCCCTAATGGCTGCACCAGTCTGCATTCCCACCAGCAGTGCACAAGGGTTTTTTAATTTGCATCTCTCTGGTGATCAGTGCACTACTTTGAGCATTTTTTCATATGTGTCTTGGCCATCTGTATGTCTTCTTTGGAGAAATGTTTATTTAGGTCCTTTGCCTATTTTTTAATTGGATAGTTTGTCTTCCTTTTGTTCAGTTGCATGAGTTCCTTATATATTTTTAATATTAACCCTTTATCAGATGTGTCATTGCCAAATATGTTCTTCCATACAGTGGGCTCCCTTTTTGTTTTGTTGATGGCTTCTTTTGCTGTGCAGAAGCTTTTTATTTTGATGTAGTCCCATCTGTTTATTTTCTCCATTACCTTTGCCTATGGGAGAAGTCTGAAGTTTTGCTGCCTCTGGTTTCTTCTAAGATCTTTATGGTTCCTCGACTTACATTTAAGTTTTTTATCCATTTTGAGTTTATTCTTGTGTATGGTGGTCTAGTTTCATTTTTTGCATGTATCTGTCCAATTTTCCCAACACCATTTACTGAAGAGACTGTCTTGACTCCATTGTATATTCTTGCCTCTTTTGTCAAATATTAATTGAGCATAATGGCTTAGGTCGATTTCTTGGGTCTCTGTTCTGTTCCATTGATCTATATGCCTGTTCTTGTGCCAGTATCAGGCTGTTTTGATTACAGTGGCTTTGTAGTATAACTTGATACTTGGTATTGTGATTCCTCCAACTTTGTTCTTTCTCAAGATTGCTGTGGCTATTTGGGGTCTTTTTTGATTCCATATAAATTTTTGGAGTATTTGTTCTAGGTCAGTGAAATATGCTATTAGTATTTTAATAGGGATTGCATTGAATCTGTGGATTGCTTTGAGTAGTATGGACATTTTAATGATATTAATTTTAACAATCCATAAACACAGTATATTCTTCCACTTGTTTATGTCTTCCTCTATCTCTTTTTTTCAATGTCCTGTAGTTTTCTGAGTACAAGTCTTTTACCTCCTTGGTTAAGTTTATTCCTAAGTATCTTAAAATTTAAAAAAATATATATTTTTATTGATTTCAGAGAAGAAAAAAGAGAGAGATAGAAACATCAGTGATGATAGAGAATCATCAATCTGCTGCCTCCTGCATGCCCCCTACTGGGATCGAGCCCTCAAACTGGGCATGTACCCTGATCTGGAATTGAACAGTGACCTCCTGGTTCATAGGTCAACGCTCAACCACTGAGCCATGCCGACCAGGCCTAAGTATCTTAATTTTTTTGTTGCAATGATAAATGGGATTATTTGTTTAGTTTCTCTTTGTGATAACTCATTATTGGTGTATAAAAAAGCCATCAATTTCCTGATGTTGATTTTGTATCCTACTACATTGCCAGTTCATTTATTAAATGTAGTAGTTTTTTGGTGGAGTCTTTAGGGTTTTCTATGTACAATATCATGTCATCTTCAAATAATGAAAGTCTTACTTCTTTCTTTCCAATTTGGATGCTTGCTGTGGCTAGGCCTTCCAGTGCTAGAATAAGAGTGGTAAAAGCCAGCATCCCTGTCTTGTTCCTATTCTTAGGGGAAATGGTTTTAGTTTTTGCCCATTTAGTATGATGTTCACTGTAGGTTTGTCATATGTCCTTTATTATGTTGAGATATGCTTCCTCTAGTCCATGTTGTGGTGACCCCCAACCATAAAATTATTTTCGTTGCTACTTCATAACTGTAATTTTGCTACTGTTATGAATCGTAATGTAAATATCTGATATGCAGGATGTATTTTCATTGTTACAAATTGAACATAATTAAAGCATAGTGATTAATCACAAAAACAATATGTAATTATATATGTGTTTTCTGATGGTCTTAGGCGACCCGCTGCTCTAGTCCCACTTTGCTGAGAGTTTTTTATCAAAACATGGGTGTTAGATTTTGTTGAATGCATTTTCTGCATCTATTAATATGATCATGTGATTTTTATCTTTCAATTTGTTTATGTGATGTATCATGTTTATTGATTTGTGAATATTGTACCAGCCTTGCAGTCCTGGAATGAATCCCACTTGGTCATGGTGTGTGATCTTTTTAATATATTGCTGGATCAGATTTGCTAATATT